TTTTTATTCTCTCACTCTGTTTAATTCTACACTGACTGAAATTTCTCATAGTTTTCTTCAGTATCTCTGGGCAAATGTCCAGATAATACTTTCATTTGGCAACAGCTGCCTCCCTCAAATCCATTCTAACTCATCAGTCATCAAACGATTCAACACTATACAGTTTAAATGAAGACAGTGTCACAGAAACGGATTAGAGTATGAAATGTATCTACTTAACTGAATAAGCAAGAAGCACATACTGACAGATTACAACTTGTGGGAAAAGAAAATATTTCCCCTCATTCTGGACAAACAGTTCTTATTATCTCTCATTCTTGCTCACAGTGCCAAACCATTACATGTAAAAAAAAGATGGACAGAGACATCATTATGAAAACATTCTTCTCAGCTTGACTAGCATAAATGTTCATCCTCCCTGGCCATGCAGATAACTACTTTCGAAGTCCTTCTTAAAGGGTCACTTCTAAAACTTCAGAAAGTTATACCACAACACAGATTTAGCATGTTTGAACAGCCTTACCTTCCTTCTTGATGTTTGCTGCTTCCTCCGCTGTTAGATCACCAGGTTTAAGAACCACTACAACTGGCTGATCATCTTCCTTATCCTCCAGTTCATCAGCATCTTGTGGCAGGGCCTCTCTCTGGAAATTGTAGTAATTCAGAACTGTAATCATCCATAGTCATCACATCCAGTTCTTGGGGGTATTATCCATAAAATGTTACCACAGCTTGTCAGAAGAAAGTTTATAACTCAAATCTGTACACATTTTTGCGTACGAACTCTATTGACCACACCTGCAATCTACATATGAAAACTGTAACAAGAAGTTCTGGGAAGAAGCAACTGCCTCTTGCCCTTACATATGACATGGACCACATAGAAAATGCCTCCTCAAACAATTCTTTGTTGCTAGAGGTACGTCTTTGCCAGGTGGTTACCTAGCAACGTTAGGGGGATACAGACCAACCCACAGGCAAATGTGTCCAGCAATTCTTCTAATGTTGCATGCACACATTGCCACGGGAATGTGTTTACCGAGCCGTTGCCTAGCAATGAAAGAATACGTTTTATTGAGCCTCAAACTAGTAACCATAGGTGGGATACACCCAGACACAATGAATGATGAGAGGGATTCATGAAGTACGCTGTTGAGATGGGCTCAGAGTGCCATGATATACATACCAAATTTCACAAAGACTGGTTCAAGCATTCAAATATTAATAGGGGGACTTTACAAATAGACAGCATGCAGGTTGCATAAGCCTACCTTCAATTTCAAAAAATTAGGCTAAAAACTGTAAATTTTGTTAAAATACTAGAAATTATAAATCACATCTTCAAACCATCCTCAGCTTTCAGGCGCACAAGAATATGAATACATAAAGCACTTGCTGGACCAACGTTATCTCATGATAGTGAATCATGAGCAGTATGAAGCAGAACTGATGACAGAGGACTGCCAACAACAGGAATGCATGTCACAAGGGGCACTGCAGGATAGAAGCTTTTGCACCATAAAATAAATGAAGAAATTATGAAAGAATTACAAAGTCAACAAACAATGGCTTCATAGGACAAGAGAGAGGAAACTGGAAAGAATGTGCTGACAATTTTAAAATATCAAGCAACCAGAAAAAGAGATTTGGAAAGACATCTGAAGCAAAGGACTCCTTCTACCTTCTATCTTCAATGGGTTTCAACAGGCCTAATGCTGGAAAGGATTTTGATGATGTGAAAATTACTAACTTATTTATTTATGTCCCTGAATCAAATGGATGCTCTTACTAGAAACTACAAGACTACAATTTTGATATTCTAACAGCTGCCTTAATTACTTAGCATTAATGTACCATTGGAACAATCTTTAATATCCATGAAACCAAAAAAGCTGAAATCCATTATGTATTTATCTTTCACATCAAGTGTCCCCTGCCATATTTTCTTTCAAGTACCCCTCCTCTGTTCTCACATACTTCTGCCTTGAGTTATGATGAAGTTGAAGTACAAAGTCAATAAAAAGTCCGTCGAGTCGNATTGTACACAACACGCAGCACATAGGAAACATCTAACCATAAGCCACATATCCTCAAGCTGACATCTCCCATCTTCGGGACGAAATAACAAGGAGGAGCTTAACATTTTACTTCAAATGTTTTAAATTTTAAATATTTTAACATTGGCGTTTTAACTTGAGGGCAGTTTCGGATGAATGTGAGAATTGAACGTGCATTCAACAATCCTAACAAGTGTTGTGCTTTTACACGTCGACGTATTGTAGCAGCGTTCACGCAGCAAACTGTGTACATCTTAAACAACGGCAGTGTTTTCATGCTTGTACTATGTGCCTCTGATGGTGGTTTTATTAAACCGAAACATGTAAGGTAGAAGTGATAAAGAAGTGACCTATAAATTGTTACACTCGACGGACTTTTTATTGACTTTGTGATTAATAGTGTAACGGACCAAAGATGAAACAATAAAAAAAAAAAAAGTTGAAGTACTCTGTATGTGACCACCTTGAGCATTGCCACTGCACTGATTCAAATGACTGGATGATCAAACTACTGAATACATCAGTCCTAGATCTGTCCCCATCCTTTGCAGGGAAGGTAAATATGGTCTATACACCGTGACATGTTTCTCGTTAGCTTCTAAAAAAAAATTATCCAAAATTTCAAAGTTGCTGAGTCCCTTATGACAGTGCATCACTAACTTACTTTGCAGTTCCTATTCAGTACTAAGAAATGCATAACTCCACACTATGAACACTTTCTAGCCAACATGAAAAAATAATGTCATGTTTGTCGAAGGATTACCAAATATTTTGTGGGGACATTTTCACGATGCAATGACCACTCTTTAAGGTCTCTATATATGTTTTAATGCCATAACATACTTAACTCTCTTTCTTTTCTACTCAGCTAAGTTTTATTTATAATTATCAGATCAACACAAAGCATTCTAATTTCACATGACTGTTTCAGCCCTGAATGGTACAGTGAAATACACAAAGATGCCCATGTCCTAACCAAAAACCAAAAACACTGAATATTGACAGCTTAACCGATTTTACTTTGGAATGCAATGTATAAAGCACTGTTCAAAACTTGATTTAGAGAAGCATCAACTATGCAGATTTATAACTTATATATCAAAAACATAAGCAAACAACAGAAGACATCAGTTTCCTTTCCAAAAATTTTAACACCTGATGATGACCACACTGGGCGAAATATGTAGTGACAAACTTTTAAAGTGAATAACTTTTAATAAATTTTACAGGACACAGTGTTGAACGTGAGTCTGTAAAAAAAACTAATCGATACTAAATAACCTTTACAGTTAAACATTCTAGAAATTGTGGCATCAGAGGAGAATATTTGTATGTTTTGCTTCCTTTTGTGCCACAATTCTTAAACATTACTTATAATCCCAAACTCACAATGTGAATGAAAAATACCAACCTTTGTTTCCACAGTATCGGCTTCTCTATATCCTACTTCTGCCTTTAACCTCTTCAAGAAACTTGGTTCTTCTGGTTTAATGTAAGATACGCTTCTTTTTGACATTGCAGCGAACAGTTATATTCTAACATATCACAGCATTTACTTCGCTTCTTTAACGTAACACACAACACTTCTTAAAACTTAATCAGTTACACATCGACCTTCAAAACTTCGAAGACCTCAAACCAAGAGATCGAAATTATAGGACACGTTGTATAATTTCATCGAAATAGTGGTTTCTTATGTTTACACTGAGCTTTATTATGAATCATGGGTAGCGTTTCCCACGTCTTCCAACGAGATTTGTACCGAGTGTAGGAGATTCCTGAGTACGGCCACATGCATCACGAACCCCGAGTTGCCCACTAAAACTTACACCAAGTGTTTATTTCGTATTTACATTTTTACGTGTGAAATTAACAACAGTAAAGGTGGGAGAGGAATCACTATGCCCACTCCGGCATAAGTCCCCAACCCCTCAGTACGCCACACAATCAAATTATAAATTATACACACATGTCTACCACCTTCGTTCCCTATCCGCTCCTGATGGCAACCACACCACTTCGGCCCATCGACCAACATACACGATCCACCAACCACGTGAAATGCGGAACAATCTGTAACTTGGAAATCGACCTCTGAAACTTTTAACTTCATTTACAACTTTGACCAACAGGATTTAGGCCATTCTTTATTTTAGAAGCAAATAAGGTTACCCAGGTTTTAACTAATATAAGCTCTCACATATTCAGAAAGCATGAGTTAACACAGAAGTAAATAGGAATGAAATGTTATCGTTTAGGGGTACTATGTGGGTACATTTTGNTAAAGAATTCAAGACAGAAGAATATTTTAAATACACTTAATATTTAATAATAATAATAATAATAATAATAATAATAATAAGTCAGGCACTAAAAATTTTGTGCTGTCGGTATGTATGAGGTGAGTACCTTCGTTATCATAAAATTGATATTTTTTTTTAAAGAACAGATTGGCCTAAAGGTAACGCTCTACACTTGTACTCGGAGGTGCTTGGTTCGAATCTCGGCCAGGTCACCGGCTCTCCTGACTGAGGTTTTGTGGCTTTTCTGTCTCTCTAGGCAAATGCCTGGACAGTAACACGCATAGGCGAGGACCGCATGCTTTACAGTTCATTACCCATTTATAATGTCACGTTCTATAATCTCGATACTGAAAACATTGTTAAGTAAGCGCCGATGTTCTATCGCTCGGCTGATGGTCCGCTCCTTGTCCGTGACGTTACTGATAGTGTCAGTGACGTGAATCATGTGAATGCTGTGAACAGACCTTTGCGTGTGTACGACTAGAAACGTGCATTATTGGCAGCACTGATTCAACATTCCGACTTTCCTTCGGTTTTACAGTTGGTTATTCTGTAAACGGGGCGTGAACTCCGTACAGATACCGGTAAAGTTTGAAATTTTAAATGGTGGTGTAGTTTGGCACGTAGTTGTGGGTATGTTACTAAAATAATATCTGCAGAGTTTCAGTGATATATGTTGTGCATTTAATTATAACTATCATATGTGTGCCAAAGAGCTTGGAGCATGTTCGAAATATAATAAAGAAGACGTTAATTCTATGTACGTAATATGCAATTAGTAGATTCTAAAGGGTTCTGGCAATTGCGAATAACACTCAGAATTACTAGGTTTTTTACTTTGTCCATCGTCCAGTATTCCAAAAGTAACACAACGTTTCGGAAATTTGATCTGTTTCCATCATCAGATGAGGGGGAGACACGTACTGTCTACTCTGCTGGGTCCCTTAGAGAGAGGTAACCTCAATCACTGGGCTACCCACATCAGTATAACTACAGCTATCTAAATACCTGAGACCAGGCTTTTTCGAAGGGAGATGTCGGGGAAATATACAATAAAAATTTAGTTAAAGCATGCACAGACTTGAAACTAAGACAGAAACCGAGGTGAAAATTTTATGCAACAAATTAAATCCATGAAAACTGATGCATAGGATTAAATGGAGAATTCTGTCAAACCCAACCACTCAGGACTAAAACCTTACAGAAACCCATCAAGAATCTATCACATACTGATCTTCTCTGTGAGTTGGTGACTACATTGCTGATAAGGGGGATTCAGATAGTAGAAATGTTCAAACTGGGTTGGGTGATCGGATTGGTTAAGCATGCCATATGGGCAGATTCCCTGTATTTCCTATACCTGCTGTTTCCAGTTTCTTCCAGAGCATTAACATCATTGCCTGCTGCATCTTCTGCCACTGGTTTGGCATTAAGAATTCATTTCATGTGTCATTGCTGGTCTCTTCAAATAATATGACAAGCCCATTTCAACCTGCCCACTTTTATAAAGGCTGTAATATCGGGGTCCTCATACAAAGCATACAGTTCATAATTGTCACTAGTTCTTCATTCACTGTTGTCTTTGATTGGGCCATATATGGATCTGATCAGAGAAAAGTATAGCGTCTTGTTCTAGAACATTCCATGTATTTTACTTGTTAAAGACTTGCCCTTCTGGACATTGCTCTGATCTCGGTGTGCTTCAATTTTTTATTACTTTGTAGTGGACTGTAAGTCAGTACATTGGTTTTGTATCTAGATTTAATGCATCTTGTTTACCAGTCACTAACATGACATTGGACAAGACAAACTTTCAATATTAATATCATATATATATATGCATGTGTCAACAGTACTCTTAATAATGATTTAATAATGAAATAATAAAATGATAAAAAGTTGAAGTTGTCCCTGTGCTTAATTAATTAATTAAGCACTACGCCATGAAGAGATGGGGGAATGGAGGTATAGCTTCAACATTCTTGACCTCCATAGTAGATGTATGTGAATAGTCAGCTTCAGCTGCTTTGCCCCTTGGGAAAAAGTCCCAAGTACCCATTGGAAAGGGGGCTGATTGAGCCCCAGAGCCAGGGAGGATGGTGTGGTGTAGAGAACAATTTCTTGTTCCTGCTGGGAATTGAACCCTGGCTGTCTAGCCCATAGCCCATCACTATACCATCTGAGCTATCACAATATAATACTTGCATAAAACATGACAAAGAAAGCCTCACAAGCATTCTGCATATATTATGTGTAAAGAACACATAACTGCTACAGCAATTTTGTTCTTGTTCCAGAAACTTCATTATTTTCATCCAGCATTATAAATTCCATCTGACTATTCAAGAGGGACTGATAATATGTCTGCAAATACTAGTACAGAAACTGTGATGGAGAACATTGATTTCTCATTTGTTTTAGAGGAAGTAAATGTACCAACAAGTTCTAATCTTACTGAGAATAAACATACTGATATTTCCATTGTTAAGAATACTGACTTACATGAGGCAGATCCTGGAACTATGATGGAAGCTGCAGGAGGAGAAAATTCCATAAGGAAGGAAATTATTGCAACAGATACAAGTACTGTAGCAAATCATGTAGTTGCAAAAGTGTGCAGTTTTCCATTAAAACTCTACTGTCCATTCTGTTGCAGTAACAATTCATCTGCAAGCTGGCTTAAAGGGCACATACGGAATGAGCATGCAACTCATCTGGAAAGGATTTCAACAGAAAATAACATTAACTCTCTTCATTCATGTTATTTCTGTCATGCTAGATTTTACACTGATGACTTAGTAATACTGCACATTGGACAGCACCATCAAGATAATGTTATTGCAATGTTTCAGGAGAGTGAGCCAAATAAATACATAGTATGTGGCTTTTGTCCATATAAAGTATTAAATAAATATAAACTACATCTTTTAGCACATGTAGAAGAAAATCATTTCACAGAGTTCAAAATTTACATGGGCCAAAAATGTTCAAAAACTGCAAAGTGTAAAAAATTGCAATACACTCTTGACATGAAAGATTCACGTATACCTAACTTGCATGCTTTATTTATGAAGATGAGCATCAAAGGAAATAAAGTGGGTAAAGATTATAGTCTCGATCAGTCAGAATACAATTCCAGTTCAAAATTCATTAATCAGAATACAGATCAATTACTGGATGCTGATGGAAATTTTATTGATAAGCTTGTTGAAATTAAAAATATTGGAACTGGAAGAGAGCTCCCCATTAGGAGAAAGCTGAGGTTTGATTTGCCAGAAACCAACAGATTTAAAAAATCTAGCAAAGAAAATATTTCCTGTAGTACAAATACAAAAGTAGTGACCAAACACACACCAAAGCCATCAAAAATCAAGCCAGTTTCAGCTTGGAAATCTTTTTTCTCATTCAAAAGAAAGCAAATTAAGAGTCGTAAATCAATTTCAAAATTGGTAACAAGTACCCCAGATGCCGTACATTTCCAAACAGGTATAAGAAGGCCAGAGTATGATAAAGATATATCAGTCATCAAGCTCAGACATATAGCAAAGGACAAACCCACTGCTTCTATAAATGAGGACAGATGTATTTCTAAAAAGTATTCAGAAGCTGATACACAGGATGATACTTCAGAAGTGCTCAATAAGGATTTGAAAAATGTCATTTCAAAGACACTGCATCCTGCTGCTTTGGAAATAGAGGATGATACATTCTGTAGTTGTGCTTCATATGTAGAGATGTTAAAACAATTTCAGTGTGCAATGTGCTTTGACGGTTTTGTAAAGAATATCGATTTGCTCACTCATGCAAGACAGCAACACACTGGTCCACTCAAACTGCTACGACCATCCTACAAATGTGGTCAGTGTGAAGCTAAATTCTACAAGAACAGCTATTTGGTTAAGCATTGCAGGTTTCACCACACACCTCGATGTCTTACAAATGAGTTACCAAGCTAGTAGAAAACATAATGAAGCAACAGTAAAATATCATAAGAAAATACTCTAGGAATAAGACATCACAATTTCTATTTATTACAAGGGTCATTACAGGTATTTGAGAACATGGAGCTGATCCAGCAGCACTAACAGATATGGACCCAAACTTTGAAACACAATTTGTACCATAATTCTCTCAAAGTTTTCAGAACACAGGAAGGAATAAATCTCTCAGGAGTGAAGACTGGAGCAGAAAAGTGACCACTGGAGTGACTGAGAAGAACACTGTTCACAGCAGTAAAAGTGTTCTTCATGGAAGATCAGAGATGACTTATAATTAAAATACAGACAACATTCCTTACAGTCTGCCTGTATAACTGCACCAGCCTCAACATTTCTACCATGAAGTTGGTGGCATGTTCCTTCAAAATGTCAGGATTCACCTACTAAACTACAGTGTCACAACCCAGCTAAACTCTGTAAAATTATCACTATGAAAACCTTAAAATTTGTAAAACTGACATCAGTTTGCCTCAGTGGTTCCTGCCATCTAACAAAAGCAACTCTGCATGAGGGGGTTTTGGTGTTGAGTGCCTCATAAATTGATATGAATAGGATCCTAAGGTGATTTGAGAATGACAAATCTCATCCAATTTCTGACATTTTCATAGTGTCAAGACATGGACCAACCTCAGCCTGAAACAAAAAGAACAGATAACTGTAAACATTTATGGTGGTTACCCCTCATGAAAGTAAAAGTACCAATAAGTTTTGGGAAGAAGACTGTGGCTTTTATCTTTATAACAGATGTTCATGCTGTTGTCATTACAGTTAAATGATTGAAAGGCTTCAAGAAATGCAGGCCAGAACAGTCCTCTCAACTATGATTCTTTAAACATATAGAACACCACATTAATTCCTATCCAGAACATTTCAGTGTATCTACTCACCCATCAAGCTTAGGATACAAACCCACTATCATGTGACTACTTTCAACAAAAAGGGGTCACAGTAAATAGTGTAAGGTACAATGATATGAGAAACTAAACCCAAGGGTCCTTGGACAAAGCAATGGCCTACAGAATTGAAGACACAAAATGTTAATAAAAACAACAATGTACAACAATGATACAACAACACTGATACAACAATGTATCAGTAAGAAAGATTCAATAGAAATGTGCCAGATGCCAATCACCAGAGACATCTTTGGCCCAGTTACATGAAAAATCAAGCAAGCATTCAGGTATACATCCTGGTGACTTACTGGACGCGTTTCTTATAAAATTCCATAAGCTTTTCATAAAACCAGTTTTATATAGTCTGCTGTATCTCAGCATAAGCTTTTTTTTTTTTTCTGAATGCTTTAGTCAGAGATATGGAGATACAGAAATTGCACAAACAGAAGTTTAAAGTGATCCCTCGTGGGGCGAGGGACTGCAGGTGCTTGTACTGCATGACAACTCTGGTTCATAATGGTGATTCCAAGTTCTGACATTGGTGACCTGGTAGAAAATTTCTACTGAATCTCCCATTATAATTTTAAAAATTAAGAATGAAGTAATCAACTTTTTGTGATGTCATAATTTTATTAATAACAAAGATACTTAGAATGTTTATATGAACACAATTCTGTATTCAGGCAAGCTTTATACATGTTAGATATTAAATACCCTTCTTATACATCACTTGTTTTTTTCTTTATATACAGGACATCATTGTTATGTCAGAATTTCTGCTGTCTGGTATAGAAATTCTGTTATAAATGATCACAGATACCGATTGTAAGTTGATATGCATAGCCACAAACTCAATCGGATGATATCTTTGGTAAACGCTGTCTTATCAAACCTTTGATTAATGCTATGTTCAATTTGGAATTAAACTGGAAAATAATAACAGTAGGTCTTCAGAAGTTTTGCATGTAAGTAAAACTTTGGTTACAAGTTTGGCTTATTCAGTTGATTTCTACTAGTCATAATAAGTACAAATAATATACAGTGTTTAATGCTGTAAATAATATATCAAACACACTTTAAAATACATTCTGAGGATTCAAATAAAATAGGCCTTGACTTTCTTTATAATGACATCATATAAATTTATTTTGTAGGAAATTTCAACAGAGACCTATTCATCAAGGTAATTTCTTTTCTTACATATGCTACATGAACCTACTTCATATAAATGACGTGTAGGCCAGGAAATATAGAGCTCTCACCTGTCACACTTGTATGATTTTCTTGGTTTACTATTACTCTGCACTGTATTATATCTACGTATGAATTCTTGTAGGCTGAGTGAAACAAAGATCACTATATTTGTATCCTGCTTCCACCAAGTTAGAATATTCTTGAAAGTCATCATTCATTTGAGCTCCAGTTCATAACTTCATTTCTTATGTTTTGTGCCAATGATAATTAATTATCACTGTGTTATGAAACAAAGAAAATTGACTAGGTAGGTAGACAGAGTGCCAACTTTAGTGGACAGAAGGTGTCGCATGATCAGTGCAATGGATCCCCACGGCTATTAATCTCAGTTGTCTAGACCAGAGCTGCCATTTCCTTGAAACAGCTCCTCAATTATCCTCATGAGGCTGAGTGGACCCTGTTCCAGACCCACTACTTCTCAGAAAATCTGGTAGCAAAGGGAATCGAACCTGGGTTCTCTGTATCTGTAGCCAGGAACTTTGACCACTAGATCATAGTGGCACTAATTTCACCGACAAGCAGCGGTCACTTGGTCGGTATAGTTTTCTTGCAGAATACAGGCCACGGAGATCAAGTTTAAGGTACGTAGATAGATTACATGTTAATTGGAACAAGACATCAGCTACAAAGCTGAAGGCTGAATTAAATTAAAATATAACCTTTGAAGCTTTCATAGTGATATACTCTAGTAAATTCTCCCCAGATGATCTGCCATAATGTGATATATACATATGAAAGTTTGTAGGTTAAACAGGTGGCTTATAGTAGAATTAAGCAAGAAATTTTTGGTCATTGGATTTGTAAGGAACCTGTCTACATACGTAAGAAAGTGTCTTATTAATGCTTGACTTGCTTGGTTACAGGCTATCATGACACTACAGAGGGCCAATATTCAAAAATGGGTGTAGTCATTCTGTGTGGGAAGAGGGGAATTGGCAGAAACCATAAGTGCAATACTTCTTACTGCTGAGAAATTTTAATCTGTAAAAGGGTAAGGCTATCCCTGTAGCAGAACAGTGAGGGCCATAGGGTTCTGAGATGCTGAGACTCCCACATTTTCTCTAGACAATCAGCTCTCAGATGGCGACGAGGTTGTCAGCCTTACGCACCGACTACCCTTTACCCCCCGAAAGATAACTGGTACTCATTTCTGTTAGAGGCTGAGTCGACCCCAGGGCCATAGTGCGGCTGGAAGCATTAGGTCAATTGAAAATTCCAATGGCCTCATCAGGAATCAAACCTATCACCTTCTGGCTTGTAACATAGTGCCTAAACCAACTATGTTACTGCCTGCCCCAGTTATCTGTAAAAACTTAAAAACTGTATAGAATTTTGTACTCAATATACTTGAGTACTGTATATTACAAGAGTATATTCATTGCATAATTACTGAAATTACAAAATTAAATTCTGATATTTAATGCATATTTGCTGGATCAAAGTACTGAAGATGAAGTAGTTACTATAGGATTCTGACGATGGTGTACAACACAGAGAGATATTTGGTTTTCAGACTTTATCCATCGTCCTGGTTTTAAGATAACTAAGGAAAACACGTTTTGGAAACTGGATCTGTTTTCATCCTCAGGTGATGGAAAACACCTATTCTGTTGGGTCCCTTAGAAAGAGCTAGCCTCAATCACTGGACAGTAACTGTTTCCGTGCTCACCTGAGGACGGAAACAGATCCAGTTTCCAAAACGTGTTTTCCTTAGTTATCTTAAAACCAGGACGATGGATAAAGTCCAAAAACCCAATATCACTGAAGATGAAGGCTTATGGCACTCCCAAAATCAAAAGAATAATTGTGGTATACACCTATTCCAGTGCTGATACCAGAGATCACATATAGGATTTAAATCCTTTTCATTCCATAAAATAAAATGTTTCCCAATTTTCATTTTGGAATTGCAGGGTCATAAAGTTCCATTCTATCTGACATCGCAAAACTCAAATGAATGTCATTTAAGCCTGTTTTTCAAACTTTTTGTGTTTTAGATTCACTCAGCCCATTACACTATTGTATATATTATTGTCTGTTTCAATTTCAATACCAGTATACTTAAAAGAAAATATGACTAGCACATCTTGAGAATACTTATTATGCTGTCTTCATTTTAGAATTTCTGCAGCTTTGTTAATGTGTTTTTTATACTGATTCTAATATACAGTTTAATGTCACAGACGTGTTATTTCAGCCCCTCCATTCTGCGTGCTTTTCTTGTTATCAGTTTGACTAGCTTTGTTCTGCAAATTTTGCTGTTGATGGTACATATTTCCATGGTTAGATTCAACAGCCGAAGAAACATTAGGACTGGAGGCTGGAAAGAATCTCGATGCATGAACAGAACTATCTGCTACAGGTGATGTCACATCTAAACAGTCACAACTAAGACTTGAATCAGAAAGTGTAGGATCCACAGCATATTTTGGAAGTAGAAGAAGACTTTCTGTTGATTTTGTTGGCTGCACGTAGTGGAGGTGATGCTGTCCATGGCCATATAGATTAACCATTGTAGAAGTCATACCTTGAAGGCGTCTGTCTCCACTGCGGCATTGTTGTGATGAGCTTCCTGCCTGTAAGCATAAGAATACCATGAAATATGTTGGGAAAAATTGTTTTCTTTGATATTATTCGTACATCCTCTCCTGTTTTCATTGTAATATTATGTGTTACACCTGCCCCACACGCTTTACTTCCACGCGGTGTATGCCTCGACTAAATTCAGCGGAATGAGTCTTATATCCCAGGGGTACACGGGTGTTGGCTCGCTTACGTCGTTTTTTGGATGCGGGCTCGATCGGTTAACCCCCTAGCACAGGTTCCACAGGAACACCCTCACTACCTGGCTTCTACTCCCTCACTCCCCGGCTTTTACTCACTAACTGACCCCTTACCCCCGCTGCTGCTTCCAGAAACCACGTTCTTAGCCATCTTGAACTTTCCATCGGGAGGGCTTCATGACCAAATGCACGGACCCCTTCCGGTCTGCACACCTTCTCGAACGTTCTCGAAGCTTCGATCCACAGGTCCTCCACCCCCACAGGCACGGATGAAAGAAGGTATACCTACTCCCCCTTGAATGCAATGGACTCACCAACCTCCCTTCTGTCCCTCGCAACCAAAGGCCAGTTCAGAGGACCATGAGCCCTCCGGGGCATCTCATTTCTACAGCTAAACTTAACCGTTACTTACAAACAAATAAGACTTTCCGTGAAGGATGCGTACGGTTACAGTGTCTTATGTGAAACTTCCATCTGCGTTTGATGTTCATGTTTAAGAACACTGTCTGCATGTCCAAATCATTAAGTCACAATGTTCTATCTCCTTTCCACAATTTTCATATTTCCTTCATTATGATTTGTACAAGCTGATGCAAGTCATGAAACAATACATCACCTAACTCAAGTCTTTGGATAATTTATTAAATATTCACTCAAATATGTAATTTCATAGCAGACTAAGTTAAAAATGGGTATTTCCAAAACATGATAGAAACTAATTCACAGCCATAAACATCTTAATAACTGGAAGTTTAAAAACATAAAACAATTTATAGCTGTCATGTAAAAGTTAAAACGCAAAGCTGTCCCTGTATTTAAGTACCATGACATGAAGAAATATAGGAAAGTGGAAGTCTGGCACTCACATTCTGAACCTCAGAACTGGATGGAAAGTTGGTTGGTTTCCAGAGTTCGTCTGAATGGCATGGAAAAAAGAAAAAATCTCCGACCCTGCTGGGAATTGAACCCCAATTCCATGGTTGTTCAGCTCATAGAGTATTCATTACTTCACATGAACTGTTCCAGCACCCCCTTGTATACATTTCATATCATATAGATTCTATTTTCAGTCCATTTATGAACAATGTATCTTTCTTCATAATATGACACGGAAGGACGAAACCAGAAGTCCAATAAACATAGCAGTGTAATGTGTCTAACAGTCTTGCAGTTTTGTAGTTCCCATGTCTCCACTGACCTAACAAAAAAGGTATATGCTAAATATAGTTACAAATACTAATCCACCCCTCCCTCCTCCATAGATTCGCGACTGGAACATGGCTGATGCAGCTCGATCAAGACACTGATCCACATAACACCTTGCAGTTTGAAAAACATTTTTCCATACACCCTCCCTTTTGCTTTCACTTACCTTCCCCTAACACAAGATGATAGTTAACTATTCACAGCATTGCTTCACTGAACAGGCTGGTCTAGAGGTAACGGTTTAGACATGTATTTGCAAGGTGCTCGTTTCAAATCTAGGCCAGGACACTAGCTATACAGACAGGTCTTCAGTGAAGAAAGCAGTCTTCTGGGATTTGGCACCGTGTATATGTGGTGTTAACAGTCTGCTTTACCGTGTCCTACGGTGTTGTCGCTTGCAGATTTACTTATACTTTTTCTTCAACCCTGAAGATGGGGGCGATACGTTCCTCCGAAACGTCGGTTAACACCACATATACACGGTGCCAAATCCCAGAAGACTGCTTTCTTCATAGTCACCGCCGTGAAAGCCTCAAATCTTACAGGTCTTCAGTGGTTTTCTTCAGGCCTTCCAGGCAAGTGCTATGATTGTTCAGGCATTGGCCGCTTCCTCTAATACTTTCCAATTCATAATTTATTAGTTTTCCCATCATCTGACACTACAGTTTTGATACAGAAAGCGTTATTAAATAACCCACAAAAGTAACTTTACATCAAGTGCATTATCAGCTCTATTCATAGTTTTTAAAGTCACTTCCCTGTGAACATGAGCAGAGTTCATGTTCATGCCAAGAAGGCCTGCAAGATCTGACATTTTGAAGGAACATATTGCTTGCATCATCAGGATCAATGTGTAAGCCAAAGATCAACAGGAAGAGTTACTCTGGTCTGCTCAGTGCTTGCTTACCATATTCTTAAACCCTGAAAATAGAAGCAGTATATTCTTCCAAAATGTCAGTAAACTTCTACCAGAAAACATGGTCTGACATCAGAGAAGACAGCATTCTTCAGTTCTTCCCTTATTCCTAATCGGTGCAGAGTGTATGGGTGTAGTTCCTTTGTCAGATTCAGTCTTACACTAACCAGTGCTAGACTGGGCCCCACAACTGTTTACAATTAGTTACTATAGGATTCTGACAATGGTGTATAACACACAGAGATATTGAGTTTTCGGACTTTATCCACTGTCCTGGTTTTAAGATAATTAAGAAAAACATGACGTTTCTGAAACTGGATCTGTTTCCATCCTCAGGTGTGGAAAAACACCTATTCTGTTGGGTCCCTTAGAAAGACCAGTGATTGAGGCTAGCTCTTTCTAAGGGACCCAACAGAATAGGTGTTTTCCCTCACCTGAGGACGGAAACAGATGCAGTTTCCGAAACGTCGTGTTTTTCTTAGTTATCTTAAAAACCAGGACGATGGATAAAGTCTGAAAACCCAATATATCTGCAACTGTTTACAATCTAACAAAATACGTATCAAATTCATGAGGTGTCATAAACGCAAATATACAGACCTTAAAGGGTTAATGATATTATAAAATCTTAACTCCATTTAACAGTGACTGATCATTATCATATTACATAAGAGCATGCAGGAGATGTAAACATTTCTGTGCATTATATTTAAAGCAGTGGTTTTCAGTCTTAAATTACAGCTCTTCATTAAATGCTTTTAGAAATTATTATAAATTATTTCATATAAGAGAGAAATGCTGTAAGAAATGACAAATTAATGTTGCTTAATTATGTAAAAATAATAAAAGAAAAGAATTATATTCATTTGTAATCTCAAGTATCCACATATACATATTTTACACGTTTTTCAAATTTGTCAAGGTTTTACTTTTTCTCTTTCCTCAGATATCAAGCGCTACTTTAACCGATTTCTCTTACTGAAATTATCAACCTGTTTACTTCCCAAAGTAGAATGAATGATCCAATAATGGCATTTAATAACGACAGGCATCCTTTCTCTCAACAGCAAAACATACACTTTTCTTAATCTGATCCACAGTATCAATTAAACTATATCTGTTTTTTGAATGACATATCATTTAATCTTTGTGATGAATGTTTACCTTTGTCAATTAACTGTTGAATATGTACTTGTATTTTGGATACCAACAATTGTAAATATGCTGGTTCACTACAGATAAGTACATCAGTAAATGATTAACAGTACAATATAATTTATATTCGCAAGTTAGGCATCCTGTTGTGGATATCACTAATATATATATAATGTACAGTATATCTGTCAATCACAACGTTTGTTTTCAATACTGATGTTCATTGAAATGTACAATATCGGACTGTCAAAAACATAAATATTGTTAACCCACGTCTTATTAAATAATGGGAAAACATATAAGATAATATATTCATAACAGAATGTGCATTAGCCAGTTTATTTAAAATCATAAATTTCTTGCCTGCTTGCAAGTCTAGTTTAACTCAATAAAAAAAGAGTAAAACTATCCCTGTACCAGGCTGTGAAGGCCCATAAGGTTGGGAGATGTTGAGGATCCCACACCTAGACAATCGGCTCAAAGATGGAGTAAGGTTGTCAGCCTTACGTGCCGGCCGCGCTTTACTCCCCAGGAAAATTATTTAATTCCTGGTACTCATTTCTGTTAATATAATTCTATTTTACCTTTGTACTGTGTGTCCGATTGTGACTCCCTTTTCCCGCATTTACACCCTTCACAGATGTTGTATCTAAATAGCCGTAGCCAAATCCATACCCTCCAAAAGCTTTGGTCGTCAGATTGTCCCAAGACTTAGCGGGTTTAGCGGGATTGTAAGATGCGAAATTAGTGCCTTGTTGCTGTGAAGTGGAAGGATACTGATGGTGCTGATGATACAAGCCGGAATTTCCTTGTTTAGTAGTTGATTTGCTGGAATGATTTCGAGTTGCAACAGGTCCCTGGAATAATAAATCATATGTGTATTTAACTGAATAATTTTTCACACACTTGTTCAACATGTCCACAGCACAAGAGTTCTGTCTAGCCATTCACAATATGTGACAATAATCGCTGATAGTATTTGTAATGTACTTCATACTCAACTCAGCGCTGTTCAACATTTCGCACATTTCATTCAATAAAATCGGTAGGATTTATTTATTCACAGTTTATTTAATGACTTTTCCAACAGCTCAAATTAGAGAGTGTCTAATGGTAGGATGATAAGTTAATCATGAATTGGATAAGGATGTGGAAGGCAGTGGTCATGGCCCACCTTGAAACGCATATTTACGATTATTTAATGGCACTGACAGTAGCTCAGATTATATAATGAAAATGGTAAGGTAAAAAGGTAAATTATTCTCTGTTCTTAATTACTTAAGCACTATGCCATGAAGACATATGTGGGAGTGCAGGTATAGCTCCACCTTTCTTGACATCGGCACTAGATGGAGGTGAGTAGTCAGCTTCACGCCCCTGCTGCTCTGTCCCCAGGGAGAGAGACCCCCATCCCCACTGTATAAGAGGCTCGGTGGGCCTCAACATCACTCTGGAGACTGTGGTGATGAGAAAAATAAAGCACTATCGGGAACAGAACCAGGGCTATCCGGCCAACAGCCTGTTGCATACCAATTGAGCTATCCTGACTCCAATGTAAAATGGTAGAATGATAAGTAGGGACCAGAGTTTTATGCCCTAATAACCCCTTAAATATGTATGCATTTATGCATGAAACACTTCTGAAATATGCACTATAATATGCACATAAAAATTTATACCAAATATTAAAATTTATTTTACATTATTTTAAGACCAACAAATCAATATTTAAGTTCATTTTATGTAATCACTGAATGATTCACTTGCAATAAAAAGCTATACTTAAATATAAATCATGCAACAAAGCCAACATATTTCATTACAAATTTAAAAAACCAATGGTACTCACATTTAGCTCTCCGAACTTTCAACTTCTCTTCTGTTGCAGTTCACAGTTACTAAATGTTTTAGGTTTTCCGTAGGTAGTCGCCTCCTACTGTCTCGTAAGATGGCCTTATAGCGGGTAAAACTTCTTTCCACCTCAAAGGAACTTAGGGGCCCATGTACAAAAGTCACTATTTGCTCCACTGTTAGTGATTTTTTACTTGGCAGTTCAGTACGTTTACCGGCTAAAATTTCTTCAACTTCACAAATTTGTTCATATCCTGGATTTTTTAAAGAATGCTGTGTACTTTTTCCTTTACTACCTCACCAACTTTTCCAGGAACCGAATTCAAGTTGGAAACAGTGGCTTTGAACATAGTTAACAAGTGGTATTGCTATTACTTGCCTCCAGTGAGGAAATGGCGGATGGAAGATGTGAGAAGTGAGCAGATATATAGGAAATATTAGTTTTTAGTTCTGCGTTTTTTAGTACATCTTGGGCAATTTGAATTGATGCTGCACTTTTGGGATCAAATGTATTCACGACATTCCTAACTGTTTCTAAATGTTCGGCATAATAACTCGCTGCACACAGCCACGTGCCGCAGCGCGTTAAAATTTGGTTCTGGCGGAGTGGAACGCTTGGTGCTACTGCTTTAAAGGCTTCTTTTCTGTATGGCGCGTTAAAAAATACCTTATTACCAACTTCTCAACAAGCGGAAAATTTGCACGAATTGTTTCTGCAACACGGTGCAACCCATGGGCAAGGCATGTCAAATGTGTCATATTTGGAAATATAACTTTAAGAGCAGTACCGGCTTTAATCATATAACTTGCGGCATCAGTCATTCGGAAACTGCGGAGCTATTTGTGGTTTCAAATTGCTCTATCGCAAGAAGATATGGGGTAGATTGTTCATTCTTATTAAGGGATCCAACTAAACAATTTGCAATAAACCGTCCCTCACAATCTTGTGTTTCGTCGATTGATACCCACACAAAATTATCTTGAATCTTATCTCTAATGCTTTCAATTGTAAGATCCTAACACTGCTTCACGTAATTTTTGCGCACAGTAGATTCATCCGGCACTTCGCACTCTCTGTACTCCTCTATGAAGTTTCTCGGAGTAGGATTGGTTAGCATCCACAGCGGAATATCTGCCGCTAAAAAGGATTCGCATAAATCAAAGGAAAACTGAGAGACTATTATTAGAAAATTCACTAAGCAATTTTTGAACAGGAGCACTTTTCGTTGATTTAATTTTAATATTCTCTTTGTGTATATTAGTGTTCAAATGCTGAACCACTTGAAAACGTTTTTCACAACCGTTTTCTCACACGCTCGGCGATAGAGAATTTCGTTATCCGTACTTATCATCTCTCCTTCGAACTCTCGCTGATACAGCTGTAATTTAGTTTTCTGACTTACTTTCACTTTTGGCATGACTACAGAAAGCTAAACAAACAACTACAGACTAGTCACCACTAATGTGAATGGCCCCCAGTTTCAAATGAAGAAGTCTCCTCATGGAGACTTCAGAAATAAATAAGTGAAATCCCTTATCAGTTGAATAGTATTACGTTGTTAGAGGCTGCATGTGAATGCTTCTGACTAATCTCTTTGCGGCCACATTGATGGTATGCGGATCAGGCAAGTTGCGAGTAGAGGGATCGGGGAAGTCCCGTCCCGGGTATTGCATCAGAAACGTGAATCATGACCAAATGTTGAGTCAATTATGCAACATATTCTAATATGGAAAAGAAAAATTGTATACACACGACCATGATTGAAAATTTGAACATAAAATTAAAAAATATACATGATAAATATTTTAAAAAGGAAATATGCAGTATAGATAGAGATCTTCGAAAATATTATGCTTATTCATAAAGCAGGCAAAATATGCATTTATATGCACCATCAAACCATGTCAAAAATTTAAGAAATGAAGTAATTCATCCAAACGAGCATACTTTCTGGTTGCAAGAAAGAAATATGCATTTGCATTAAAATCCGGTCCCTTATCATTGATAAGTAAGTCATGAAAGGCAAAGGACATGGAATGAGGCGGTCATGGCATAATTTGAGGTGCTGTACTGGCATTTCTCTGGGGGGAAAGAGGAAATCATGTAAGGAACCCCAGTCAGAGTAGCTGGGTCTCTGGGCTGAGACTCTAACCTGGAACACCATAAACACAAAGCAGGAGAGCTACTGACTTGACTGTAATGTCTGGTTAATGTGAAGTCAAAAGGATTCTGTATAACTGAGTACTTGTGGCTTTATGAAAAGGGAAACTTGCATTGCCATAAATATATAAAAAAAACAAATGAATCTTCATTTCTTTTATGAAGAAGGAACCTCATCATGGAAAGGGTTAAGTTGACTCAAGAACTGGGACAGTATTTATAAGAAAGTTTGTGTTTTTCATTCCACGTCTATATTATCAGTCTGTAAATGAAAATACTAAGAATTATTAAAACTAAAATGGAATGCTCACTAATCTGTCGCATACCTCACAAGATGGATCCCAGTATAATGTATCAGTACTGAGTGATGTGGTGTATGATGCTGCACTGCTTTCTCCTCCTGCACCACCAGGCATCGTACAACTCAGTTCACTGGAAGTGCAAGAATGCAGGCTGCACTGACTAACGAGACCAGTACCAAAGTTGAAGTAGCGATGAGCACGTGGCTGTGGAGGTTGTGGTACAACACTGGAAGCAGCTGGATGTACTGCAGGTTGAGAAGAAGAGCGAGTACTTTTTTCTTTTGAACCTGCATCAAATTATTAAGTAGATACTTTATGTAACTGCACTAATTTTAACTAAATCTGACTTACAGAAGCTACCATTATGTGAGAATGAACAGAAAATACATTTTACACATGTATTTCTTATTTCTACCTTTGTTTCTCATTATAGTGCACGATATGTAACATTTTCCAGTACTAGTGTTTTATAGTCAATACCTTTAGAATCTGAATGATTTTTGGAGGTGTTTTTATGACCATTTCGATGTTCTTTATGATGGCGAGATCGCCTCCTAGCAGAAGGTACACAATGTGGATCACAGCATGGACTTGCTAAGTCATAAGCTTCCAGACTAGAACTATCTTGGTTGCTGGCCTGCACACATGGGTTGCACAAGTTGTGAGAATGTGAGGACTGTTGTTGCTGTTGCTGATGATGATGCTGTTGCTGATTTTTACTGCTATTATTGTTCCCTGAACCTTTTGAAGACTTACTACTAACACCTGAAACAAAAGAATTTAAGCAAATTTTACATTCAATCTGTCACTTTCTCATGAACTTAAATAACATTTCAAACACAACCATGCTTCTTAACGAATTTTTTTGTTTCTGTGAGATCTGATATTCACATGATGGTGACCGTAAAAATTACTGTCTTCTAGTCTATAACAACGTGTAGTTTGTTAGAAGGCTTCTACCTTAAATATGGAGGCAGTAGGTTCCTCCATACCGTTGGTATCCATTAACAAACCTTTATGACACACTGAGGTCATGCGTGGTGATTTTCAGGCATCCCAGGTAAGTACTACTGGAAATGTTTCAGGGAGTAAAATCACTGCATGTCATAAGTATCAACTGATAATTTTGTTTGGTATTTGTATTCAGACAAAAGGAATTAAAATGAAGATGGCGTGTTAACGAAACATAATCTATAAAATTTGCTTCAATTACAGAAATACATAATTCATATTTTTCTTTATATCCCCCTCTTTTATTGCAGTAAACTGTCTTCCAGTAAGTATGAGGAATGGGGTTTGCCAGTTACACGAATCTGTCAGCTGCATTAGGAAAACTCTTAATAGAATGTGATTTTCAGCCTGCCTGGTCTTTCATTTCCCAGTAATCAACAGTAACACTACAAAGACGCAAACACTAAAACAATGTAACAACATACAAAAATAAATCATATGGAGATATACAAACATAAACCCAGCACCCCCAAACCTCCACACCATGATAAAATTACATAAACCAAATAGGTCCATTAAATCAATAACCAACTGGCAGAACACACCCACGTATGAACTAGCAAAACATAAAATACTCGTATCAGGTATCAGCTACTCAGTAAACAGATTAAACAAAATAAAAAACATCCATCCTCACACAGAAACGGAATACAGACATCAACCCTCAACAACAAAAATCAAAATGGGTCACTTTCACACGCAGCAGAAAAGGAACAAGAAAAATCACAAAACTATTTAAGGGGACACAAAATATGAAGTGCAGTTACAACTGTGAAACACACTACAAAACAACATCCACGAAGAGGCAGATAAAACAAAAGTGGCATCTACCAATTAAATGCCTAGACTGCCCACTAAAACACATAGTACAAACAAACAGAACATTGCACGAAATGAATACCAGTTAAGCAGCACACACGACCTGCCCCACTATATAAAACAGAACCACTACATGAAACAACCAGAACAGCTACACACAGAACAAAGGAAAGAAACCAACACACCGAAAATGTAAGTAACATTACAATCACAGAGCTAGAATACAACATCTATCTCTTAAATAAAACACTAATATAACCCATTATTACATATTACAGATACACCGGACCCATCAATTAATTAGAATAAAACATTTTATAAGCATTTCACATTACTTGTAAAATGGGAAAAATACAACAGCATAACAGCAGAGCAGCAGTTTTCAGATACATTCTTATACACCTGATGATGGCCAATTAGGCTGAACAATATAGTGTTAAATACTAAACAATATGAAGAAACAACGAGCTTTCAAATCGCGAATTTTAATACATGGATGATGCTGCACAGGAACAGTGAAGTGACAGTGCTAAAACTGGAATCACTATAAGTGTAATGGCACCTGCATGATGGAGGCTAATGGGCAGCACTGTTAGTGGTGGCTGGAAGAACACAACTGCTGCACAGCAGAGGAACATATTGCATTACATGAGAATTCTGATGCCTGAATATCACATAGCTAGTGTTTATTTTGTATGCAGTAATGACAGCACCCATCATTACAAAGAACTATGTGCATGTTATCCAGCACAACAGAATGGATATACTACAAGAAACGAACCAGGTCCAGCTGCTGCAACACCGTTTGTTTGGTGGTAACCTTTAGATGACCCATGTCGTGTTGGTGCCTCACAAGAAGTCTTCGTAACTGAAGACTGATGATGACTAGTTGCGTCATTATGACCGTGCTGCTGCTGCTGTGACCCATGAGCTGTTGGCCAGCTGACAAAGTACTCGCCACTACTACTGGTTGAAGGTTGTAGCATGTATGCTCGATATCGGGGATCAAGGTACTGGTAAGCTAGCAACAATTGTTGAGTCTGAGGCTGATGCTGCACCTAGAAAATCATACAGAATAAATATTTTTGAGTATATAATCACTTGTATTTATTCATACATTCACCATTCATTCATTTACTAGGAGTGCTGGATATTACTGTCTTCTCAGATGTGATACTGTATAGATTTTGGATGTTTACTGATGTTTTGGAGGAACATGTTGCTGCCACCATTAGGGTAGAAAACCAAGTTGGATATGGGAAAAGTCATATGGATATAAGGAGAGTGGTAGCAGGGCTAGTAGCCTAGACTGAACCAAATCAGAATATTAAGAACTGCCTTTGAAACCCAAATTCTTTCAAACACACCCCAGATATGAATTCATACAACTTTATCAGAAGAAGTCTCAAAGTCTAACTATCACAATCGAGCAGAGTCCTTCTTGAGTAGTTAATAGTTGTTCATCTGCTCAAGAAATTCTCTGCCCTTCACAGTGTCTGAAGGTTCATTACCATGATCACATGAGCCTGCTACTGGACCATATCCTCACTCAGGTGACTGGCAACAGGTTGGATTACTGGGGTTAGATTCCCACAGACCGGCCTCCTATCAAATAGGTACCAGAGGTTTTCAGAAGGGAAGCTGGCTACTCAGCTCCATCAGCTGCTCATTTTGCAGTCCTCCATACTGATTGTTCTGCCTCAAAACTCCACGCTCCATTCCACTACACTATGACTTACGTGCTTACTTACTCTTGGAGCTGAGGCCTTTTGGAGGAGCCACCAATTCTGCAGCTACTCATGAATTTCCCAGCATTTTATGGAACCCAAAGGTTCATTACTGTGTTCACAAGAGCCCTCCACTGGTCCCAATCATGAGCCAGATCAATCCAATCAATGCCATCCCATTCTATCTCTCTAAGATCCATTTTAATATTGTCCACCCACATACGCCTTGGTTTTCCCCTTGGTTGGTCTCTTTCCTTCTGGCTTTCCCACCAACATCCTATATGCATTCCTCGTCTCCCCCATTCGTGCTACATACCCTGCCCACCTCATCTTCCTTGAATTGATCATTCTAATTATACTTGGAAAATAGTACAAGATATGAAGCTTCTCATTATGCAGTTTTCTACAACCTCCTGTCACTTCATCTCTCTTTGGTCCAAATATTCTCCTCAACACCCTGTTCTCAAGCACCCTCAGTCTATGTTCCTCCCTAAATGTCACAGACCAAGTTTCATACCCATACAGAACCACAGGAAAAATTATAGTTTTGTATATTCTAATTTTTATGTTTTTGGACAGCACACTAGAAGACAAAAGGTTCTGGACTGAATGGTAGCAGTTATTACCCTGAGTTCAATCTCCTTTTAATTTCCTCCTGAATCAGGTTTCGATCTGTTATCACTATTCCCAAATATCTGAATTGTGCCACATTTTCAAAACATCTGTTTCCTATCTTTATACTATCATGATTTTGTCCTGCATTTAGGTAATGAGACAGCAACATATACTTAGTTTTCTCTGTGTTTATTTCTAGACTAACCTCTTTACTTGTGTCAGTTAAAGTCTGTGTGTTTTTCTTTATGGTATCTACATTATCACCCAGTAGATTCACATCATCGGCATAGGCCAACAGCTGATGTGTCCCGTTTAATTTCAGTCCCACCTGGTTTCCCTGGACCTTCCTAATGGCATATTCTAAAGCAAAGTTGAAAAGCAGCGGCGATAAAGCATCTCCTTGTTTTAGATCATTCTGGATAGGAAATTTAACAGACAAATGTTTACCTACAAAGGCTTTACTATACGTTTCATTTAAACACATTTTAATCAACCTAACTAGTTTCATCGGTATCCCAAACTCTATCAGAATATTGTACAATACTTCCCTTCTAACTGAATCGTATGCT